TCCTGCTGCGAGACCGACCTCTGCAACGAGGAGTGGGATGAGGACCCCACAGACTAGCCTGGGCAGGGTGGTGTGGCCGTTTCAATGCTATGAGCTCTCCAGCTGATCCCAAAGGATTCCCACCCCACATTGGGATGGTGGGACCCACTCTGTGCATCTGGCCTTGGCTTTTCCAGCTCGAGCAATAAACCTGCAGGTTATAAGCAGCAGCTGAGCCTGGCTCCTGTGTGCTTCCCTTCCCCTATTCCCAGCTCTCCAGACTCAGCATTCCTGGTGGTCTGGAAGCAGCTCATGGCCCCTGAACATAATCCTGCAGCTCCAACCCCAAGGGCAAGTCAAGGTGCTTTCTCCCGCTTGCTTCCCGTTTGTTTTTCCTACAGTGCAGGGCTGGGAATTTCATTGTTGGGAACTATACATAAGGGAGAGCATCAGGAAGGTGCTGGAAGCCAAGAGAAATAGGGGATGTGTGTATTTAACAGGTATTTATTATTTCACTTGTGCAGAAAACATGCTTAGAGTTGTATTCTCCTTGTATTTCCCCCCTCTTCCCTGCTGTTTTGGATGTCCGGACCTCTCCTTACCCAAAGCCACCCATGGTCGGTGGGATTTGTCCTGCAGGAGACGTTTCTGCCCTTCTTTGCCCTGAATGTGAGCTGGGACATGAACCATTCATTGATGGCTTTGGAGGAGGGAGGAAAAGCTTCACTCCTGGAGCCCCCTGGCACGGGAGATGGGACACTGGAGTGCGTCTGGGCTTGGGGACAGGTGGAGGGAGGTGCTGGAAACGTTATCCATGCTCTGGGCAGGGAAAAGCGCCTTGGCACAGGGGAAGGGAGCAGAGCCCAGGGGAGGAGGAGGAGGGAAGGAGGCCGGTGGGTGCCCAGGATAGATGCAATGGGGGAGGGAAAGGAATGGTAAGTGAGATGGGAACGGGGGGGGATGATGATGTGACAGAGGGGACAAGTGCGGCCGCCGCGGGCTGGGGAGGAGCAGGAGCTGGAGCAGCACCGAGATGTCAGAAGCATCCCGGGCTCCGTGGGCTGCATCCCGCTGGGAGCCCTCAGCCTCCCGGCTTGGCCCCCCCACCAGCACCTTCTCCATGCAGAGGGTTGGGAGGTTTGGGAGGATGCCCCTGTCCTACACTTCTGCTCCGAGGTACGTGGTGTTAGCAAGGGGAGGGCGGTGGGATGCGCTTGTGTGGGTGTCCTGGGGCTGCCTGTCCTCTCTTTCCCCTCCCCACCTTGTTCTCCTGCTTTTCCCATTGCCCATTCCTCCTGTCGAGGTGTCTCATTCTCTTTCCTTGCTGTTTCAGCATCTCTGGGTAGGGTATGGATTTCTTTGCAGCTCATAAGCCACCACCTCATCCTTTTGCACCGAGTTTTTCTGTGGTGAAAAATGCATGGTTGACCTGGGGAAAATGTGTAGTTTGTGTTTGTTTATGGCCGAGGGAAAAGGGAGGTGGGAGAGAAAGCAATTTCCCTTCCATAGGGAGTGATACGTGCGTGTGTGTGTATAAACATATATTGATATATATGAGAAGGGAGGTGGGTTTTCCACAGGGATGGAAATGGTGGGCTGCAGAGAAATAGGATTTGGGAAGCTCCCCCCCACCCCCATCTTGATATATGGACTTTGCATCCTTGTGTATTCCCTTTCTCCTGTTGCTTTTTATGGCCCCTGTTGAGCCCTGGGGCTCAACCAAGTCATCCGAGTCCCCGGCTGAAGCACCGAGGGCAAAACAGGTCTCTAATGGGAGCTCAGATGGTCACCTGGACCAAAGCCTAGAGCAGCTGCTAAACAGGGCTCCGAGCTCGCATTTAGCACCAGGTCAGCCAAAAAGCAGCAGGACCCAGTCCTGGTGGCTGTATCCCAAATGAATTCCCTTTTCCCACCTGAAAAGAACACCCAAACCAACCAGAAAGGATGGGGGAAGCCCAGGATTTGTGAGGGAGCAGAGGGCAGGCTGTGTTCCTGCTTGCTCTTCCCTCCATCTATATGTTGTCCCCAACGCCGGGGTCTTTGCCACTGGCTTAAAGAAACCAGATAGAGCAGAAGTGACCTCGGCGGCTCGTTCCTGGCAGAGGAACGCCCACAGGGGGCTGGATGCCAAGCATTCGTGTTCCGGGTGCAGCCCTGCTGCAATCAGTCCTTGCCTGCAGGAAGGAGGCCATGGCCGCGGTATTCCTGCCCGGCAACCTCCAGGACGAAGCCACTTGCTCCGTGTGCCTGGAGTTCTTCAAGGACCCCGTGTCCATCGAGTGCGGGCACAACTTCTGCCGGGCGTGCATCATCAAGAGCTGGAAGGACCTGGAGATGGACTTCCCCTGCCCGCAGTGCAGGGAGGTGTTCCAGCAGAAGAGCTTCCGACCCAACCGGCAGCTGGCGAACATGTCCGAGATCATCAGCCAGTTCACGCTGCGCGGGGCCAAGGGCGCGGAGGAGGACGGGCTCTGCGGGAAGCACCGGGAAGCGCTGAAGCTCTATTGCAAGGATGACCGGAGAACCATCTGCGTGGTGTGCGACCGGTCCCGCGAGCATCGCCCGCACGCCGTTGTGCCCGTCGACGAGGCGTCCGAGGAGTACAAGGTACGTGGCCGTCCGTCCTTCTGCCTCTCAATGCACTCAACACCATGTTCTTGTTGCCTCAAAGAGCCGGTTGATGCGTTCTGGCTTTCCAGAGCCCAGGAAAACCTGTCCCTCCTCGTGCATTCACACAGTCCCTGCAGGCTGGGATTAAACGGGGCAACCAGGAGGCTGTGGGAGCGTTTCCTCCATGCAAGCTCCTGCACAACAGCGCTGGGCTCGAGCCAAGCTGCAAACACAACCTGCGGGCACCCACATTATCAGCAGGGCAACACCTGACCCAGCAAACACCCACATCTATTTAGGGCTGGGCGAGCATCCAAAGGTGAATCCGAGGCGGTTAAAGCTGGGCTGAGGTTGGCTTGTGCCAAGAGCAAAGGCTGGGGAGGCAGCAGCCGATGAGATCAGAGCCTGTATCCTCCGCTTGCATCCGCTGTCTCCTTTCTGTGTCTGCTGCGTGTGTGGGAGCTGGTGCTGGTGTTTGGGGTTCAAATGCAGGTGTCTGTGAGCTGAGCCAGGGCCCGCACCCTGTTTCCCTTTCAATCCTGCTTGTCCTTGCACGGCCACAAAGAACACACCATGTGCAGGGTGGATAATGCAGCGAAGGAAAGGAAGAAACCCCAGAAACACCATGTTCTTTCCTTGTTCCTAGGAGAAAATCCAGGGCCGCTTGGACTTCCTGAAAAAGGAGAGGCAGGAGCTGCTGGAATTCAAAGTGAATGATGACAAGAAAACCCAGGAGCTCCTGGTGTGTGCCCATAGCGGGTGCTTGGAGTGGTGAGGAGGGAGGTTGAGGTTGGGGCTTTATTCCATCTGGAGTGGCTTGAAGTAGCACCATGGCCATGAGCTGTGGTGTCACACACGACACAGAAGGCAGAGCGTGAAGGTCTGTGTTTGAGGGCTGGGGGGACCTGTCGGACCCGACCAAACACACCCAACCTCATCCATGCTGCCAAAGGGAGCGTTTCCTGGAGCAGAATGTTCCCGTTTGCACCAGGTTTGGTCTCGGAGGAGCTTGTTGGTCTGTTTGTGATGACAGCACAAATTGGAGCTGGGTCTTGGCAGAGCTGAGGAACAGGAAGTCGCAGCAAGGCAGGAGCTGGGGTTTACATGAGCATATAGATGCCTCCAGGGAGGGGGAAATGATGCTCCAAGTGGGTTCTCCTACACAACCCTTTCTCCCAGTTTGGGTGGTGGGACCAGCAGGTGATGACAGGGACTAAGGAAACTTCCTGGTCACTGATTCCCACCTCTGCTTTAAGCAAGGATTAACTCCCCACCAAGATAAAGGAAGGTAAAGGGAGGTAATGGAAGCCTGTGTTGAGTCGAGAAGAGAAAACCTGCCTAAGGTCTTGCTTTGGAGGTGATCTGCTGCCCCAGATTTTGTACCTCTTCCCTCCAGAGCAGGCTGTGGGGATGCAGCTGCAATGGAGATAATGGCTGTTTGTGGCCATTATGCACAGCAATGGCTGTCCATCCCTGCCTCTTTCCAAGGCTTTGGCCCTGTTACGCATCATGCACTATGCAGCCTCCCAAGCAAGGATGTTTGTGGGTGCTCCATCCCCACCCCAATCACTGCACCAGCTTGAACCCCTTTATCTCACTGTGTTTGGTGGCCAGAAAACCATCGAGAGCGAGCGGCAGAAGCTGCTCTCGGAGTTCGAGAGGCTGCGGCAGTTCCTGCACGACCAGGAGCACATCCTGCTGGGGCAGCTGGAGAAGATGGAGAAGAACATCGCCAAGAGGCAGAACGAGAACATCACCGACCTCTCCAAGGAGATCACGCTCCTCAACAAGCTCATCACGGAGCTGGAGGAGAAAATCCAGCAGCCCATGCTCGAGTTCCTCAAGGTGAGGTGCTGGCTGTGAAATGAGCCTCCAGGGCTGAGGAAAGGCCTTTCTCCATCCCTTCTAATGTGGTTCTGGGTCCCGTTAGAGGTATTCTGGGGATAAATGTGTTTATTTCCCCCTATCTTCAATGAGCAGTGTCTGAGATACACCATCAAGAGCACACAGCAGCTCTCTGGCTCAGGAACATCCTGCAGCAGAGGTGTGCTCTTCATATCCAATAGCCTCTAATACCATTTTCTTCCATGACTTTGTCTGGACCTTTCTAGTACCCATAAATTCCCATTTCAAGGTGTTCAAAGCTGGATTAGACCTCGCATGAAGAGCCACCACAGCCAGATCCTTAGAGCAAGCACCTCCTTTGATGAGCTTGCAAGGTCTGTGGCCAGCTCACAATGCCCACTCCTCCAGGCTTGGAATGGAGCTGGAGTATGGAGCACATGGAGCTGGGCTCAGCACAACAAGGCTCCTCGCCAGGTTTTACAGTCCTGGCTGCAGAGGGTTGGCCAGGACCTGAAAGCAGAGCTGGGTTTCAAGTCCAAATGAGCCATTAACCAAGCCGGAAAGTATGAGAGAGGGAGCAGATGGGCTCCAGGTATTGATTGCACTGCAAAGAAAGAAGCTGGGGCCCATCCAGCCCCTTCCTTGTTACCCAAACACTCCTTTTGCAGCTGAAGTGGGGTTTGGAAAGCAAACCTGAGCTGCCCATCCCAAAATCAAGCAGTCCTGTCCCCCACCCTGTGGCAAGAGGCCAGCAGGGACCTTTTAAGTGGCCATGTGCTGATTGAAGTAATGGTGCTTCTGGTGCACACATTGATCCCTGTGGGGTTAAACTCCCTCTGAGGCAGCTCTGTCAATATTTGCAGATGGTTTCAGGACTTGGCCATGGGTGAAAGCGGGTTCCACGTGGTCTTTGCTCGGCTGCCACCGTTGTTCACAGCCCTGACCTGGAACGATGGGGGAGCTTTGGCTTTTAAAGCCCATGCTGGGAAGTCTTAGCCAGCTCCAGGGCCCTTTTCCACTCCCTGGGCTTGGTTTTGAGTCACGTCCAATGTTCTCGACATGGTTTATGCCCTTCTAAACTCCTCTTGGTGATGATAGAGACGTGGATGTGCAAGTTTAATGCCAGCTTTCAAGGTGGCCAAGTTATGGCGGATGATGTCCCTTTGGCTCTTAGGTGGATACTTGTCTTTCTGTGTCTCAAGCCTTCAAATGAGAGGTTGATGGGCCCTTCTTGGAAGTAGGAGACCCTGGGATCACCTCAAAGGCTGCCAGATGCCTGCTCTTGGCTCACAACAGCAACGCTCAAATACTGGGATAGGAACCAGAGAGTTTTTTGCAGTCACCATCACTGGAGATACCCCTAAATTACTTGGACAACCTGGCATGCTTTGAGCAATGGGGTGGATAAGAGACCTCCAAAGCCACCTTCCAATCTAAGCCACATCATGATGCTGTGGGCACAAAGCTGGACTATTATATATAGCACTATTTGGAAGGCTTGGTCCCCCCGCAAAAGCAGCTGGTCTTTAGTCCCTGAGTGAGATCTGGGAGGACTGTGGCCTTCCAAAGCTGGAAGCAAAGATCTGAGGCATGGATCCATGCCTGTTGTTGCAGCCGTAAGGGATGGATGTCTCAGCTGGGTTTAATGGGGAAGCATGGCACATATTGCACAGGGATTTCACTCTGTCTCTCTTCTTCCTTCCTAGGATGTAATGAGCATCATAAGCAGGTACGGAGCGCTGCTTCCCCCCCCTTTCATGCTTCCCCTCTCCCAACACTGTTTGAAGGTCAGTGTTTGCAGCCCAGGTGCCAGAGGGAGGCACTGTCAGCTGCAGATGGGAAAGAAACGGGGGAATGGAGGTGATTTCCTTAATGCTTTCCCTTTTCCCTTTGCAGAAGTGACGATGTGAAGTGCCAGAAGCCTGTGCCCGTGTGCACGGACATGAAGATGCACATCTGCAACTTCTCCCTCAAGACCGTCGTCCTTGAGAAGGTCCTAAAGAAGTTCAGGGGTAAGTGAAAATAAATCCGTGTGTTTTAAATAGGCCTTTTCCAGGCACTGGGACAAGGGATGAGGAGCTCTGGGGATGCTGCGGATGGCTCGAGGTCCCTGGCCGCAGCACTGAAATAGGATGAATCTTGTTCGAAAGGGCTTCTGGAGATGTGCTTCCAGCCAAGGAGTTCGTTAAAGAGGGGGAAATGAGCCTGACCCGCCAGTTTTAGTGCAACAAACCGGGTTTCACATCCCGGGTACTTGGAGGCCGGGATTCACAAGCCACCCCCTTGCAGGAGCGCAGCGAAGCCACAAGATGGTGCTGAGGGATTTGGGGAGGAATCAGGACAGTGTAAATAAGGCTTAACCCAACCCTACGTTCTCTTCCATGTCCAGAAGCTTTGGTTGTTTAAAACTTATACAAATTAACCTGTATTCGCCAGGAATTCCCCCATTGTGGGAGCTGGTGTTGCTCCATCCTCGACCCTCACTACCTGTCAAGTCCCATGTTAAGCACTTTGCTGTATATAAAGGTCCCTAAAGAGGGGGGGTTGTGCTCTCTCGCTGTCCCCATTGACTCGCCTTGTCTTTTCCTTGCAGACAACCTGCGAGATGAGCTGGGACGAGGTGAAAAAGGTAAAGGGAAAAGCGTTTGGATGTAGCGCCCTGGAGCAAAGACCTTAAATTGTGGTTGTATTTTGCAAAGGCAAAGAGAGGGCTGAGAAGAAAAAGGATAAAACAAGAGGAAAAAAGGCACTCTGGGTTTCCTCTTTTGGGTTAATTTCTTCTCTCTCGATGATTTGCAGATCCAGCCTGCTCAGTTCCAGAGTCAAAAGACGGGGTTTCTGGCTGACGCCGGGGATCTGATGGCTCAGCTAGGTCCTTTCTGCCTGTTTCCCCTTAAAACTGCAGTGCGGAGGAGCAAGAACACATATTTGAACTCCCCCCCAATGGATTCAGACCTTTTCAAGCCACAACTTGCTTTAAACCTGCCAGATTTGCCCTGTGCCCAGGCTGCTGTTCCCACCAGGGTTTGGGGTGGATGGTGTGGGCTGCTCCAGAGGCCTTAAATCCTATGGGAAGCTGTTGGAATGGTGCCTGTGGGCAGGGACGTGGCAAAGCACAAGGGGAAAGGCTGAGGACCACCACATGAAAGCAGAACAGCGACAGGACCCTCACTGCATGTCCATGTGGTGGTGTGTGTGCATGTGCTGAGGTGCAACCGCTGGTGCATTGTCCCAGCAAACCCTATGGAAGCAAAGTGGGGCACAGCTTATGCTGCAGGGAGCTGGGGGATCGAGGGCAGCCGAAGCTTCAATCCCACTCCTTAGTTCACCCTTCCCAAGAGCTTTGGATGCTCTTAGTTTTTAGATGGGATCATAGTATTGTTTGGTTTAAACCAAGCCAAGTCCTGAGCTGAAGCTCAAACCCAAATCCCAACACCTTCAGTGGCTGGAGATGTAAGAGGAAGGAAAGAAAACACCTTTCAAAGTGAGGGAATTTGCTCATCCAACCCATTTTCCCTAACTTCTGGTGACAGACCTTGAAAGCACCATCTCCTTGTCCAATGGAATAGTGCAAAACGCAGGAGATGCTATTTTAAAGCCAATCTCCCAGTTTTTGGGGAGGTGCTTAAGTTCTGAAGGAACAAAGGACTTACCCTTTCCCGTGGCTGCTATTGCTTTCCTGACTGCTATGAAACACCACGAAGCTTTCAATCCCATCATGGGTCTTCTTGGACATGTTTCAGCTCCTAAAGTCCCATTTAGATACCCCAAAGAGGTGTCACTCGTTCACTCATGGCAACTTTGCTGACTACAACCACAATTTGAGGTCACTCCCATGCTCACTGTTCCCTTTGAGCCTGGTTTTGGAAGGGGGAATAGATGTTTGTATCCACCTTCATCCACATGCATGTTTCAGATGGGATCTGCTGTGTAAAGATGCCCTTAGGTCATGGCTTTCCATGGGGACTTGTCATCATGGGGTGGTTTGGGGACAGACACTCAGCAGTCTGTGATCTGAGGGGTGTTCATTTTCCATCCTGGGTGTTGGACACTGGATGAGCCAAAAACCAATATTTTGGGGGAAAAAGTCTTGATCTAAGGTCCATTTTTACTGTGTGTCATTGTCAGTTATTTGCATGTGGATTTGTTGTGTTCTTTGCTCCAAGTATCCTTATATTGTTGTTATCCCATTAGTTTTGCCCTCCAACGGGGGGGTATTGGGGTGTCAGTGTGAGAGGACAGTGTCTGAGAGGTGCTGGTGTTGCTGAAGGACCATGAGCTGATCAAAGAGCCAAAGGCAGTTGTGGGTCTCCCTTTAGGACATCCTGAACCAGATCTTGGCCCTCATTTACCATGATTTGCTTTGCTGTGATGTTCTTCACCTTTACCTGATGGTGAGGACGTGAAAATGGTGAGGAGGATGCTCATCGCGTGCCTTTAACTGGGACCTTCCTCACCCGCCTCTAGAGAGAAGGAGCATATTTGTTAGCACCTAAAATGACTCCTCTTATAACAAGCCCCAAGCCTCAGGCTTCCTGCAGAGTCAATGGCGAGAGGAGGCATCTCAAGAAACTCCAAGCCAAGCCAGCGTTGAAACTTGGCTTTCCTTCCCCACAGGCTGCCCGGGGAGCTGAAGAGGAGCAGTTGTTGAGGTTGGGATGTGGTGATTGAGGTTGGGAAGTGCTTCACCCCCCCCAGCTCAGGCTTTTATCTGTTACCGTTCTCACTGAGTTATCCCTGTCCCTGCTGTCATCAACAGAGGACCTGACCCTGGACCCCGACTCCGCAAACCACCTCCTCATCCTCTCCGCCGACCTCAAGAGCGTGAGGATGGGCTGCAGGAAGCAGGAGCTGCCCGATAACCCCAAGAGGTTCGACACGAACTCGCGGGTGCTGGCCACCACGGGCTTCAAGTCGGGAAGACACTACTGGGAGGTGGAGGTGGGCGCCTCGGACGGGTGGGCTTTCGGGGTGGCCAAGGAGTCCGTCAGGAGGAAGGGGCTGACGCAGTTCTCCCCCGAAGAGGGGATCTGGGCAGTGCAGCAGAATGGAGGTCGCTATTGGGCTGTCACCTCGCCCCAGCGCACGCCGCTGAGCCTCAGCCAGAAGCTCAGTAAGGTCAGGGTCTACCTGGATTATGAAGGGGAAGAGGTTTCCTTCTACAACGCCGACAACATGCAGCACATCTTCACCTTCAACGTGGCTTTCCAGGAGAAGGTGTTCCCCCTCTTCTCCGTCTGTTCCACCGTCACCTACATCAAACTGTGCCCATGAGGCTTCTCTGAGGACCTCTCCCCGTGGTCTTCACTGGATGAGCACAAGAGACTCTTGAATCAGCCATGCAGCCCAGTTCAGCTGAGGGATGGGTAACCCGGTAGTGAGGGGAAACCATCCCAATGAGTTTGTGAGGATGCTCAGCTCCTCTTGCTGTGCTCTGTGAGTGGTTATAAGGGACTCAGCTGGAGTTTCTGGCTTCTTTCCTCCTTGCTCCTGCTGGGAAGGTCAGTCCCCAGTGAAGGGGAGGTACCTGGTCACTTATTCCAGCTGCTACTCCTAAAATCTGGAATAATAATGTACTCCCAAGGCTATTTTTGTGATGCTGATATGGGGGTCTGAGCCCTCCCAGGTGGTCTAAACCCCAAGGCCACCAAGATCTGACCTGTCTTGGAGTCAAGATGGGGTTGAAGAGATGCTGTGAGCTTTCGATTGCCCTCTCCATCAGCTTCGAGTGCTTCAGTTCTCTGTGCGGGGCAGGAGGGAGGTGTTGCTGCTACTGTGGGAAAGGCTGAAAGGTGCTTGGTTTTCCGTGAAGCAACACAAGTTCGTGTTGCTCAGGTGTGTTTGGCTGCCAGACATGAGCAAGAGCCATGTTTCTGAGCGCTGGTGCTCCTGTGGAACTCCTCCTGAGGTCCTCTCTGGCCAGAAGATGGTTTCATTATAACCCCTCAAGGGTTTTCTGCTTTGCCCATAGTGATGTAGACTTTGGGTGCTGAACCTTCTGTTTCCTCTTCACTGCTCCCTTCCCAGCAAATCCACCCGTTTACCTTCATCTCCTGTTTCCTTTTCCTCTGGCAATGCTCCCTTTTGCCAAGAGAGCAGATGCTTCATGCGTGCTTTCCTTGGGTCACGATGGCTTTTGCCAGAACAAAGCAGCCTTTACAACATAATAAGTGTTTTATTGTCTGAAGTGATGAAACCCATGATTTCTGGTTTGGGGACATTGCTGGTTGGTTTCTTAACCTCTTCTAATAACCTGCAACCCACAGGAAGCGAAACAACATCTGACCCTCCCAGACTGTTCCTAGCCCATGTGCTGGCAATAAAATGTGAAGGTGCTACCTGCACTGGTCTTCTCCTGTTTGTTATTCCCAGCTGCTGACAGGCTGGAGACCATCAGAAGTGTGGGTTGAAGGATTGTCCTGCTTGGAATTTAAGTCTAAAGAAAGAATTTAAGTGAAAGCATGTATATGTGTGTGTATAGAGAGAGAGGTGAAGGCATTTATATATATAGGGGTGGTTTGTCCCCCCCACATCTGTTTATGTTAAGCACAAACCCAACATCTGCATATTGCCCAGATTGAGGAAGCTGAAGGTAAAGCCTGAGTCGATCTTTATCTTCAGACACCCTTAGAAGGGAGGGATGGGCATCACCTCTGTGTTGTTGCAGCAGCAATATGGAGCTTTCCTTGCTCTAATTTGGCCAAACCTCCTCAAATAAAGAAAGAGAAGATGCTGGAGGTGCCAAGGGCTTGAACCCCCCCCCCCCCCCCCCCCCCCCCCGCGCGGGTGGGACTGAACCCCGGTTTCTCACGTTTCCAGGGGTGTAGGTACACTCTCAGCGGTGGTTTCTGGCCGTGCAGTGCTCCTGCTTGTCCCTGTGTTTAGCGGAGCTGCGAGAGGCCCGTGTCTGGGACAAGTATTGGGGGTCATGGAGGTTTTGGGGCGGTCCAACCAATTTTGGGGTTCCCCCCTGGTGACCACGGTGGAGCCCCATTTTTCCATTGCGGCTCCATAGCTCAGGGGTTAGAGCACTGGTCTTGTAAACCAGGGGTCGCGAGTTCAAATCTCGCTGGGGCCTCGGGCATTTTCTGTGCTTGTTTTTTCGTTTTGTCCTCAAAATCGGCATTTTCCTCCGTGCCGGGAGCCGGCGGAGCCGCGGGGACGGGACGGAGCCGCTCCCGGCACCGAGAGCCGCACCGAGAAGGGTGCTGTCAGGGCGGCTCGTTGGTCTAGGGGTATGATTCTCGCTTTGGGTGCGAGAGGTCCCGGGTTCAAATCCCGGACGAGCCCTGCTTTTACTCGTCTCTCTTCCCTTTGATTTTGTTTGTTTAATAATAATAATTTTAAAATAAAGGTTTTAATTCTTTTCCTCTTCCTTCCGCAGCTTTTTGAGGTCCCGTTTCAGCTGCAGCACTCTCGGCAGCTCACTGGAAAAAACACACGGAATGGAAGAAAACCAAACCAGGTTTCAGGACCTTTTTGCCGTTACATGGCTCAGGCACGCATCCAAACTTTCCTGTTCCTTAGAAATCAACCCTCCCCTGCTAATACCTTTTGTTACCCTCGCAAGCTGCACAAAGAAGAGGCGATGCATAAACCTCACACTGGGAATTCAGCATTTCCCATCGCAGAAGAGCTGTGGATACACAGGGACACTCCAGATCTTTCCCCCATGGGCTGTCACTTCTCCTGAGCTGCTCTTGGCTCGGCCCCCATGCTAAAAACAGAAAACTAAGCCCGATTTTTATTAATAGGAGCTGTGAATAAGCAGCTCCTGTT